AGTGTATAGACTTTATTATCATAAAAACAAAAAGTTTTTTGAGAACATCTGTTTTTTGGATTGGCAAAAGGATCAGCAGAAAGAGTTTAATAAACCATTCAATAATAACTCCATATTAATATCAATTATTATAGATATACCTACTATTATAGTTGACTCATGTACCCAAAGTGGATTCAACTTCATTAAATGCATTTTCAAATTAATTTCAGATCTTTCTAATTTTTTTCTATTTAATGTTAAATAGGTAATCATAGCTGCTTAGAGTTGCTTGATAAGATATATTGTTTTAAAAATTTCTTTTTAATATTAATCTAGTGATTATTATAAGCAAGCTAGCATTTAACTTGTTGTACTAGTACATATGAAAAATGTTGTTTTTTTCACAATGTATATTTATTATTATACAAATAAAGAAAGAAATGATGTTTACCTACAAAAAATAAATAATTAATTAATAAAATTATTATATTATAATAATAAAAGTTTTAAATGTTAAATTTAATATATATATTTAAAAATATAAAAAAGATTAAAAGAAAATTATAAAATTTGTTATAAATTTTTTATTAATTTTATAAGTAATTAAAATATTATTTGATTAACTTTAAATATAGATAATAAAATAGATTATTTTTTATATATTTATTATAATACATTGTTACTTAACAACTTAATAGCAATTAGTATTACAACAAAAATAATAAAAATTATTAATAAAGATTTATTAAATTAATAATAAAAAAAAATAATTTTATTAAGAATTTAGAAAAATAAAGATCAAATAATATAATTATAAAATTATAAGAAATTTACATTAGTATTGTTTTTCAAAAGAGTAAAATAATTATTTTTATATATTGTTTTAAGTTGTAAGATTGTTTTTTCTTATTTATTATTAATAAATAATAATTTTGTTTAAAATAAAAATTCTTAAATTATATAAAATTATATTAAATAATCAATTTTAACAATCTTAATAAAATATATTTTTCTAATTATTTTATTTATAGGTTAATAGAGTAACTTTGATTATTTTTCAAATAAACCATTAAAATATTTTGTTCTAAAAATTATTGGCCATATAAAAAATATAGAAATTTAAAGGATTGTCAAGAGTTACAAATTAATCACACGATTATAGAATTCTTGACATAGAATTATCTTAAATTATGATATTATTTCTTTTTATAAATAATAATTTCAAGAGTAAATTTATAAAATAATAATAAAATAATATATTTAAAAAACTAATAAAATAAATAATTTAATTAGTTTATTACAAATACATGTATATATATTTTAAAGATAACAAACATTTTTTGAATAAAAAATAATTTGAAGTATTTAAATATAATTCATAAATTTATAGAAAAATTAAAAATTAAAAAGAAGAATAATAATATTTATTAAAAATTCAAGAAATCATATAGCATTTGATTAAAATATTAATGAAATATAATAAATACATACTTTAGATATGAGTTATAAATTTGAAAATCAATTTTTCATATAATTTTATTAAAAAATAATTAAATATCATTAAACAGTATAAAATATTTTTTAAATTCTATAGTTTCTGATTTTTATTTATATCAAATGAGATGTTTTTTGCAATTTTTATTGAAAAAACAAATTTGATATTATATGTTTACTATTAAAACACATAAGTACATTATATATTTGTTGGGTTTTCATAATAATTGATATTTTTTTCAATTAAAAAATCTTGAAACAAGAGTATTTCGAAGGGCTAATGTTCTTTGATGATTTTATTTTGTTCTGAAAAGAAATGAACAAATCTTTTTATGGTATTGTATAATAATTGAAAAATTATTTAATTCAAATACATTGTTTTTTTATTTTGAATAATTTGATTTTATTAAAATTAAATAGATTAATGAATAATGGTAACAGGAAATCCACTTAGCTGGGATATACTAATGTTGGTAAGTAAAGAAATTTGGCAAAAGTTTAGTCACGGGAACGAAGCATGATAGTTGTTTTTTTTTTGCATTTTACCAGTATTTTTTATCTTTAAGTTAGCTTGATTAAGAAGGTTATGACTTCTTGTTACGTACTGTGTGATCAATAAAATAATAATAAAGCAGAAAACGAGTTACTTGTTAAAAGAATTTTCCGACGTTCTCTTCGTTTTTAAATTGATTTAATGATAATGATAACATGCAAGATTTCATTGAGGGAACGAATATACGTTTGAAAATTAAATTAACTAATTTAAGTGGTCGCGGTTTTTTTGCTATTGGCCTAATTAATTCAGTAATATACTTATTAATTCTTTATAATTGCACGTTTAATTCAAATCTCATTATACTCGCAAAATTCGCGACCAAAAGAAAAACAACATGAATGTTTATTTAAGAAGGAAAATGATAAGATGAACGCCTGGTAAAATAATTTCTATATTAAGGTATTCGTTAATAAAGTCCCTTGATTAAATTAATAAATGACCCTAGAAATTAAAGGTTTGTGATGGATCATCGTTTAATTATCAAGCAATTGTGAAAAATAAAACTTTAAACCTATCGTCGTATACTCTTAATAAAGATTTTTTTAATCATCACATCTATTTGGGATGTAAATCACGCGCAATCAACTAGCCTAATATTGCAGTGTCAAAACAAAATAAGAACATAAACTAATTCTTGTTAGTCTAAAAAAAACAAAGTCAACTATTTGCAAGTGTAAATATGATATCCGATACAGCTTTTTTTAGTCTTGGTTCAATAAATAAAAATGCGTAGAGGTCAAAATTTCTAACATGTTATTTAAAAGTCGACATTACATTATTTTGGTTCGCGCATGCATGATAATATTAAAGTAAATCAGCAGATCAAGCAGTCAGCAATCAATGTATACCATACATGATAAAGTAAATTATTTAAGGTATGAGTGATCAAATGAGTTGTGACGCGATATTAATCTTGCAACTTTCTGTTTTTGTAGATCGATCATGCTAGTTAATTAAGGAAAAGGAACGATAAGAAATCGAACATTTACAATTTACAAAACAAGTTTTAAATTTCATCTGATTTCTTTATTACTTCATTGTATTAAGTAATTCGCTCTGAATAAGTTGATTCACGTTGAATATGGATAACAAGACACTATAAAAGACTCATTTCTTTACATTCCCAAAATTTGGATTCAAAAAGAATTCTCGATACATAGAGAAAGAAATGAGATCTAAACTCATCTTCCTTTTTTGGGGCCTGATTTTTATTGATGTTGCTTCTCCACTGGAAAAAAAGAATGATACTCTTTTCCAAACCGATATCTTCGAAGCTTTTACAGCATTATCCGAATATCCTAAAAATATAACTCGTAATTATACCTTTGAATTGATGAGAGTTGACCTTGCACCTGATGGAGTCGTTCGCCCTGTGTGGGCAGTGAATGGACAGTGAGTATAATTACTCTTTGAATTTAATAATTAATGACTAAAACGGGATATTCTCGGTAACTAATTTAAAACATTTTTCGTTTAAAGATACCCAGGCCCAATGATTCGTGCAAATATTGGTGACAAATTTAACATCACGGTTAAAAATCATTTTGGCGATCCTACCGCAAGTATGTCGTCAAAATTGAGCACGTAATAAAAATTCAATTATTAATTTTTTTTTTTTTTTTTTTAATAAAGTTCACTGGCACGGAATTGACCAAAAAGGTACCAATTGGTTTGACGGTGTTCCTGGGACTACTCAATGCCCGATTCCAAACGGAGTCAACTTTTCGTATATATTTAACCTTAATCAATCTGGAACCTATTGGTATCATTCCCATTTTTTCTCGCAGCTCGTGGATGGCACGAGGGTAAATATATCAATAAGATTTATTATTATTATTATTATTATTATTATTGCGAAAAAATATGATGTAAATGAAAATTCTGAACAATTAAAGGGTCCCATCGTT